CACCTTGCTTCGATGTTTCTTCAGATACTTGCGACAGAAAGTCAAGCGTGGCAGTGAACGTGTTAACTAACTGCAATGTCCCCTACATTTTCACTATGACAGTGTGTGTCGTGTTCTCTGTCGTCGAGGAGAAACGTTAGAAACGCGAGTTCTGTCTCGTTGTTCCGTCTTGAGACCCGCTACAAGCTTCGCCTATGTTTTCAGCTAACCGTCGTAACTCTAAACTCTTTGTCCTACCTCTCGGGCAAACGATCGGGCATCGATCATTCTGCAACGCGCTGATGGCTGGCGAACGAACCGGCGCGAGAACTAATTCGTCGCCGTTAATTCCGCAAGTTGCGCGCAAAACCAACGAGTCGGACTTAATCGTTGGCTTTAATTAAATTTAATTAGTCCGCGTCGCGACCAGCTGCGAGCCCAGCCCGATTTCACGAACGTTTCAACGCGTTCGCGATGCCTGGGCGCGAGCCGGATTTTCGAACCGCGACATCGCGTTTAATGGACGCGCTTCCGGTCGGTATTACAGCAATTTACGAGCATCATCGCGAAACGGTACAAATTAGCTATTATTTCGAAGGATTTTGATTAGCCAAAAAAAGCAAATCATTTGAACAAGTTACTATTTAATATGTAGAAGGGACTTCAAATGTCAGAAGTTTCGCGGGATAAATTGATACAAGATACTTGCAAAATTCTGCGAGTATAATTACTATAAATCAAGCCAAGTATACTTGCGAAAAAGGAATTCGCAAAGCTCAAGTTGAATCACGTTGTCAAATCGGTGGTTCTATACTCGCGATTGGAATACCTTTGAATGATGTGCGATTCAATTTGTTTCGCGATCTTCGAACGATTATCAAACAATCTTCGAAGGTAAAGTATTTAAGAACAAAGAGCACTTGCAACGTTATCGAGTCGGTCGTTCCGTATTTAAAATCATCGGCAACCGATCCAAGTGCTGGAAGGTCTCGTTCAGGTTCTCGGATTCATCATTTACCGTTAACGAACGAAACAATGGACACGACAAAACGAAAGGTAACGTGAAGTTCAATCTCTCTGTATCGGCAATCGATCGTCTTCGAACAATTACCAAGTGACTCTGCTCGTGTCAAGATAAAGCGTGTCGTAACAATGCTCGTTAAAAAGTTTCACTGAAAGAAAATAGAATAATTAGAAGTTGTTGGCTGGCGATGATAGATCGAAAAACAGTGACAGCCCCGTTGTTCGAGTCGATCGAGCAACGGAGACGGACCATCACGACGTGTAACAAAAGAAAACAACATTCCCGAGTGGATTTCCATGCAATTCTTGCGAAACGTCGCGTCATCGAGCGACATCCTCAAGTCGCGAAAGGGGTGAGAGCAAGTGTCATCGAGAAGGGGCGAGCAAACGAAATTTCACCGATTCTCTCATTTGTCCCTTTTCTTTTTCTGTCTGTCTCTCGCCCGTTCTCGTCGCGATCGAAAAGAAAACAAAAGATTGATTCGTGGGTAGAGTCGAGAGAGAGGACAACTGGGAAACGCTTGAAACAATCCGTCGAGCACGAAATCGTGTCTGAAAAAATCGTGAACAGGAGAAATCGCATTCATCAAACAGTCCAAAGAAACAGAGAGAAGGAAATATACATATATATATATATATATATATGTATGTATATATGTATAATAACGTATATGCGAGTAGCACAGAGGTGCGGAAGAGGAGAAGTGCCAGTGTAACGAGAAGAAACAGTATGTTCGATCAAATGTAACAACATTTTCCAAAAAACGTGGACTAATAATCTTCAACTAGCAGGCTTTCATGTAATATATCTGGGGAGCGATCCAAAGGAACAAAAAAAAAAGAGACAGAACAAAAATAGTATAACAGACAAAAAGTATAACAGAATTATTGACAGTTCAGTTTCATTTTGTTGGGTCTTACCTTAAACGGGCGAATGTTTCTACGGGAGGAACCACACACAACAGGTGCCGACAGTGTGTTTATGTTACAAAATGTACAGACATATTTACATTGTACCGCGTGGCATTTGCAACGATTACAAGAAAAGAAAAAAAAAAAAAGATGGGGGACGATTAGATTAATTAGATTAATTTACAGATATAGAATGGGGGATAATTCTTGATCACAGAGAGAGACATTGATTCTCGTATGCTATCATTCAGATTTAGTGGCAACGTTTCATTAGGCGTTACCGTGTTGCCAATAACGACATGACTCGATAAATAATGGCGGGGGATCGTTTATGCATGCGGTGGTAACGCGTCTCGGACGCGGCTTAACTCTTAGCATACTAAGCGAAACCTCGATACACATGGTTTGTATGCAGCTCGATAACTGTTAACATTAGAAGACTTGCGTCGGTGAAATGAGAGTGAGGAAAGTGAGTTTCTAACGCAACAAAGAGCATCTGATCCAAAATCTTGGAAAAAAATGCACCGCTGTAACGAAAAATTACGAAATTACTGGCTGTTTCAATTATTTCGAAATGGTTCTAGCGTTAAAAATCTTCGTACGCTAAGAGTCAAGATAACGTTTTCACCCTACGTTAATTAACGTAGATTATACAGCAGCTTCCTAAATCTCGCAAAAATCATCTACCAAAATCATTTTTCAACCTAAGCTGACTTTTCACCAGCGCAATGATCATACGTTTACGATGCAATTTCTCGAATTCCGCGCCAAATCAACACGGGACCAAATCTGTGTATCTCTTTAATTGAAATTTCGGCTGAAAATCATCGTAAGTCGAGGTAGATAAAAATGAAACCTAACCCTCCTTCGATTTCCAGAGTTAAACGAGAAATATTCTTCTCGCTGCTAATCGTATCGTGACAATTCTCTACGCCGCATTTTCGTCGATCAGAAAGTTCGCGCGCGCGTTAACCTCGAGTGATTTTCGATCGACGACACGCTGGTAAAAATTGACAAACCTGATAGCCTGTCTCGCCGCGACGTTTACAGCCGGTTGTTCAGCGACTTACCTGTTGAACGATAATTAATTTAACCGACCGACACCGACGCGCGTTGTCTGATAATTATCGAGGCAACAACCGGTTGAAAATAATCACAAAGGTTGCCGGACCTTCGACGAGCGATCCACTGTTGGAATAGTACGCCGTAGAACGTCCGATTAATCACTATAAGTATAAGCAATGGTCGTAATCGAGGCGCGTTGACGGGCCGTGACGACTGATTTCTAATTAATTTTCTTCTGGCCGCCTCACCGAAATAATCGCGCGGTGATTAATAAACGCGGTGTTCGTTCACAAGGAGGTCCCGAGTTTTCAATCTGACGCTCAAGTTTCACTGGGGCGACGAGAGAACGGCGCACCGATGATTTATCACCGCGATCACCCATTGTTCGCGGCTTGTCGAACTCGTTTGTTTAATTACGCGAAGAACCGACCAGGAGATTTCATAGAGTCCGGTGGCTTTTTCGCCAAATTCACCCTTTCCGTGCAGACGTCGCGGTGAACGTGGTTTATTTATCCCTACCACGCGATGAACGAAACGATTTAATTGATTAACAACTCGACAAGGGCAGTTCGACAATTGGAGAACTGAGAAAAGTTTGAAACTTTGTGACGGTGAAACAATGGAATGAATGTTTCTTCTCCTTAGATCCTAGGGGTGAGGACATTTCTTCAAAGAAATCTTGACTTTTGAAATTATGTGATAATGTATAGTAATTACACGTAAGTACACGTCAGAGATTTTTCACTGGGCCATGTAGAAATCTAAGAATCTTACTGGAATTTCTAGAAATCAAATATCTTTCTGTTTTCTAGTGTCAACACTTGTTTGTAAATCACATAGATCATAAAAAGATATCTAGTCTGTTCTTATAATTTGAAACCATTTTTTATAAGTTCTTATGTAAATTTCAAAAATAGACAATATTAGATTACACAGATACAGGATCACATGTCGGCTGACTTATCCTTTGGACTCATCCCTAGGATCGTTTCTCAATAGGAAAGGAAATTGTTCTGTCACGCTTAACCATTTACGCGAAGCATCAGGTTCTGTTTGAATTGTCCAGTTGCCGGACTTCCCTTGTCACGACGCCTGGCGTTATCTTTCGTAAAATTGTTTCGTTGTTAAAACGAACTTTAACGCGCGAGATGCATGTGCTGAATTCATCGGCCCTCCTCCGACGACGAATTTGTCCCGCGCCTCGGTAACTCTCGCTTCGGTACCCTTGAACGAGTTAATAAAATATACACAAGTAACATGATCCACGTACATTATATACAATATATTTTAATCGAACTAGCTGCATGTCATATATATATAGATAAATAGATAGATAGATAGTGTATCATATATAACGGACCAGTCAGTTTCCAATAACGATTAAACGGAGAAAAAAATTGGAAGGGGAGGGCAATAACCAACATCAACACCCAAAATAGTAGTCGAGTGGCCTGAATATCGAGTAGGTGCAATCGACACGTTTTTCTTTTTTTTCTCGCGAGCTTCGTTCCGGTCTACGGAGAGCTTCTTAAAAAGAAAAAAAGTTGACAACGACAACCCGCGGTGTGCCACTCGAACCTTCTAAATCTTAATCTCTCCAAGTGCCTCTCTTATCTGTCCGTCGATAAATCGAGTTGCTCGATGCTTCTTTCTTTTCCTCGAAGCCGATGTTCCACGTTCGTTCGTGCTTATTTCTCTTCGTTGAAAAAAAAAAAGAAAAGAATAAAAAGATATCGTTTGCACCTCCGCACGACGTTTGGACCGCTCGACCACGTGGATCGTCGTATGCAGTCTCGAAAATCGAAAGTTTCACCGTGATTTCGTTGTTTCAATTTTCTTAACGACGGGACACGGTAAGGATGGAGTGTCTTCGGGGTGGAGGGGACACACAGTACGAGGGGTGGACAACGTCGAGGGTGTAAAGAGGAGTGTCGAAAAGATGGTGCTCGTTAGTGGGCCGACGGCAAAAGTGAATTGACGGAGCTTTTCAGACGGACACTTAAGATTCAATTTTCTCTTGCCTGGCTGATCTGAAGTGGATGCTCCACTACAGGCTCCCGGTGTTCCTTCGGCTATGCATTATTCATGAAAGCAACTCATGTTATATTATAATACGCATTATTGGGGCAATTAATTCGACGCAACGTCATCACGTCCGCGCTCGGTCACAATTATTCTTTCTTTTCCCTTTTTCTTTCTTTCTTACTATTTTTTTCTTTTCTTTTCTTTTCTTTTCTTTTCTTCACTGTTGTTTCCATCAAGCAACGCGTGACAACGAGCCACTGGGAAGGGGAAGCTTATGGGGGGCTGGTAGAGTATCTCGCGATCCGACAATTCCAGCAACATCCTTGTTTTCGCGAAGCTCGTTCGTTGGGATTTATCGTCGAAAGACGAATTTATCCGTATTGGTCGTAATGCGATCGTGCCGAAACAACGGCAGCAACACGCGAGCACCGAATCCAAACGTGATCTTTCCCTGGCTAGAAGCGTACAGATGAAACTTTCTGCAAACACGACGGCGAGACCATCTCGATCAGAGGCGATATCTCTGGCACGGATCGTCACTTGGTACGAACTGAAAGACGTACGTGTTTGCGCTTGGCGACACGTTGCGTCGATTAATCAACGTCGGTAGTAATTAGCATCGAATGACCGATCTGATTTCACGACCGAATCTCGAACGAGCAGCTGGAAAATCGTGCTCTCGCGACAGAACGGACGAGAATAGAATAAATAGAGTTAGAACAGTCACAAATTTCGTACGTGAATCATGTGACAGATGTGTATCGCGCCTCCGTGAGTGAGATTGATTCTCTTTAGAAATGAGAAGGCGAGATCAGAAAACGAGCTGGCATAACCGTATATTTCGCTCGTAGAGCAAAGAAAATTTCAGTGGAATTCCAGCTATTACGATCGGCCATCGTCGAGTTTTCACGCGAGAAAGAGCAGAGAGAGAGAGAGAGAGAGAGAGAGAGAGAGAGAGTAGTGTGGACGAGATTGCATCGAACTTTCATCGAGGGAATGAAAGTTCATCGTGACGCGTAAATCGATGGCGACGACGGAAATGGCGACGTTTATGCGAAGCTAAGCGTTTCTAATTGTTGACACCCGTTGGTTAACGGCTTGTACGAGATTTATCGTGCGCTTGGCAATTCACGTACACGCAGTCTGACTTTTGAATGTCAGCCGATAAGAAAAGAAAAGGAAGATAGTTTCAGGGACTACCGAGCTGGATTTTTCATTTAGAATTTATCAATAAACGAAATGTGGATAAATGAACAGAGAACGTGTAACGGAGGTTATAAACAAATCGCAAGCAATATAAATTGAAATAATTTCAACGAAGAGCGACGCGAAAATAAAGCAGCGTTGAATAAATTAATCGAGAAGGGAATCGGCTAATGTGGTAAAAAAATATAAATGGTGATATAAATAAATTAATTAAAATTATCTCAACGAAGAAAATGACGTGAAACTGAGAGTAAGATGATCAAGAAAGACAGGCAAAAGCTTATTTCTATGAAATTTCCTAGCGAGGATAATTCGCGAAAAAGAGACAGAGTGTATAATGTAATTTAATTGAAGTGATTTTAATGAAAGTACCGTCATTAATTTGATAATAAGGAATTAAATTAACTTAAGGGAAGAATAACATAACGAGTAATAAATTAATGCAGAAATAAGTTAATAAAAAGAAATGATCAAGATGACATTCCTTATGAAATTCCTTAATAGAGATAATTCACAAAATGATAGTAAAAATAGTGATGAAATAACTGAACGCAGCGTTGGCGGATCGATAGAACGATGTGATAAAGCGTGATGCTGGCGTTTAGACAGAAGACAAAGATTAACTAACACGTAGGTCAATAATCGAGGGAAAAGTTGACATTCATTGTTCGTGGTGTAACAGATAATCGATTGAAACAGGAGGAGGTTTTCGAAAAAGTATCGAAATCACAAAATATGCGTAAAACAATCCGATAGTGAGATAAACGTAGACCCTGTGCAATGAAATTTTAAGAAAAAAAAATTGGAAACATGGGAAAACTCCGTAAGTCAAAAAGATCCGTCCATTTTCTCGTCTGTTGGGAGAAACACGCGAGAAGCGTGCCAGAGAATCGCTGATCGTTTTTGCCACTCGTCGCTCGTTACGAAGCAGCCACGCGACGCACTATAGCACGCGACAACGCGCGCCTGAGTGCAAGCGTTTCCTGCGCCGGAAGCAGAAAAAAGAGAGAGGGAGAGAAAACGAGTCGAGTCGAGAACTGGAGGAAAATTCGCACACGCGAGATGGAAGGAAAATTCGACACGACTGCGACTTGGGATCGCGTCTCGCGATGTTTCTGGCGAATTTCGCGACGCTCTGAACGAACACGGGTCCCTCGAGAGACGTCCCCCGAGATTTCCGCGGGAGGCAGAAATCGTTAAGTCGGGAACTGCCTGAACTGACGAAAATTCGTCTGGACTCCGGCTGCTTTCGAGGAAAATTGAACACGGGGCGCAACGAAGAGGAAAGAGACGTCCAAAGTTAAGCATGTAAGATCGAGACTTCCTCGTCGCGGGCCCTCTGCGGATGTTGATAAATGTAACTAACGGGGACGACGTCTGAAATTTGGAAACGAGATAAGGAGAGACCTGTTCGCGAGATCGAACGGTCGCGACAGTGTGCGCGTTTCTAGCTCGCGAAGAAGTGTGGCAGCAAATCTGATTTTCTGGTGATTGTGTGACACCAACAGCAAATTTCACGGATGTGTGTGTATGTTTGTGTGTTTGTGTTTTTGTGCACTGTCCGATAACCACTCGACGTTCATTTCATTTGGAGTCTAAGCTAAATGTTGTGCTTTGCAGAAAGCTTGACATTTTAACTTTGTTAACCCTCTGTAATATTCAGTACGCGCTTTCGTACACTCGTTGCATTACCTGTCAACTTACCTATTACATAAGAATTGCATAAGTGTCTGTAACATTTTAACGCAGCTGTTTGTTTTTAAAGTCGAGCGAATATCTCGCGTGAATTAATTAATAAATATTTTCCATCCGCGAATGAACGAAATTCTGACTCCGGGGGTCTAATAACTCGATTCAAACGACACACCGAGTTGAGAGAGAGCATAAACGTCCGGCAAGAAAAAAGACCTATTACGTTTTACGAGCAATGGTATCTAAGTTAGATCGAATGGTTGTCGGACAACGTCGGTGGCAAATGATCGAGGCGTGAGACTCAGCAGGGTGTCTTCTGCTGCCTGGTAAAGAAAGCTCGGAAAGAACCTGGAGATTCTCGACCCTTGGCAGCTTGACGTCGATTAATACGTGACATTTGTGTACACACGTATACGTGAACGAAAATACGCACACACACATGAATATATATATGTACATATATAACATATATAACTGCTCGCAAAAGTATTCGAACACCTGTAGTAACTTTTCTCACGTGTCTCGAAATAAAATAAATATTTTTACATCTTCACATTTGTCCAATTCCAAACGAATCTAAAAATAGAAATGACGAGATGTTCAATGCGCGAATAACTTCATTAAACGTCAATATTCAGCGAGACTATATTTATTACTTTTATAAAATGGAAATAATAATAACTAATTCCTCACATTAAGTACAAGTACATTATATGTACGTTCGCAACAAATCATCTACACGTCCACATTATCAGATCGTTTTCAAATTTTACTAATACAATCTTACATTGTAATATCACGTGCGATGTATGCATATTAAATAAAAAAAAGTTCTTTCATACCAAAGTGCTCGAATACTTTCGCTAGCCGCTGTGCGCAATATACCACGGACGATCGTGTACACAGAGAGAAACGCACGTGTATGCACGTGTATACCTACTGGACGTCCCTAGGGTCAAGGGCGACACACGTTGCCCGTACAATTTTCTTAGTCGATAACCGTGCAAGGATGACTGTACACTCGCAATGAATATCCAACAGCGTTCGCTTAAACTCGGCTCAAAGCTCGCGGTCTCGTTGCCGGCGGAAGTAGCGACGCGATTCTCGGCCAACTTCCGGCGCTCGAGAACGCGTTCAGAACTTCTGTTCCGGGCATGAGCCGCGAGATTCGTCGAACGTCTGCATCGTCGCGGTCTGCTGAATCTCGAAGGCGATCCGCCTGCGGCCCACCTGCACGGAGAGTCCAGATCAAAACGGAAGAAGAGCCACATGTAACAGGGAACGCGGACGTTCTATCTTCGTTCAGAGTTAGGCAGTAACTGAGTAATTAGAACCACAGTGATCAATCAACATGTCGTTGTTAAGACAAGTCAGTAATTCTTCGCTACTTAATAATTAATTTATACTTTTTCCTTTCGTTTTTTTTTTCTTTTTTTTTTTTTGTTCGAAACAGTAACGTAAACTGCATTTTCGTAAATTGTACATGGAATATTATATTCGTAAAAATTCTATCTAATAAATTCTGGTCAAAGAACATATAATCATTTCAGATTCATTCTAAGATATCTTCGTAATTGAAAATATAATAAAGTCGATAGTCATGATCGATGAGTTTTGCCCAACTCTGATCTCCGAAACGAAAGAGAATTCAAAGTAAGGTTCGTGATGAAATTCGTGCAGAACTCGAGATGGATACGGTGACGAGCTCGTGCTTGAAAGGAGAGAGAAACGTGATCCGTGCAGGCGTGCTCGCGTGTCGTTTTCAACAGCTCGACGAAAGCTGGTTGAACGACGGACGGATTGTGCGTGACACGTCGCTGAAAATTAAGATACGTATCATCAGAAGCGGATAATAAATCTTTCCTTCTTGTTCCGCCTTGTCTTTTGAGAACTCGATGGACATCGCCCCCCTTCGAATTCGTCTGACAACGAGGAGGAGACGTGAAAGGCGTCCTCGAGGCATCTCTACGAAGTTCGGGGTCGAAAGCACGCGGGTCGGGTTAAAAAATCTCAGTTTTCTTTATTTTCATTCAGACATATCGCCTCGTTGAAGGATCTCCGATTTCTTTCTTTCTGCCGTGCCTAACGGCATCATCTATCGGAAGAGAGAAGCGTCGCAGAGTCGAAACGCGCTAACAGGTGGAATTGC